TATGCCACTAAACAAAAACCTGCCATATTATAAAGTTTTAAGTTATCAGTCTTTTTTTTTTTCCCCTCCCATCACAAAAATTGCCACAGACCTTAAGTAGAAAGAGCATAACAATCACAATATTGACAAAATGCTAAATCAAAGCAAAATCAAGGCTTCTGGCTCTAAATAAGTAGTCTATGAGTGAATTCAGACTCACCTGTCTTCAATCAGCCTTCCTCTGAGGCAGGTCACTTGATGACTTTTATATATAAGTGTATGAAAAGGTACCCACCCTACGGGCTTTGGAATGTTAATTGCTACCTAGTGTGATGACATTTGTTTTAAAGTACAATAAGTAATATACATTAAGAGCTTGAAACTCTTATGATTCCTTTCATCCAAAGATTTGCACAAGCCGTGGTTAGTAAGACTCAGGAAAACTCTGTGAAAGGAAATAAATACTGGTTTTCCTCCATCAATAAGCACATTGATGCACAATAAATGACTCGCAGAAAGCATTGCAGTGAATCAGTGGCAGAGGCCAGGCAAAAAATCAGATCCCTGTCTAGTGCTCTCCTTGCTTTACATCTCAGATCAGTCTGGACACATTTCTGGAAGGGTTTTTGTCTCGTTTCCTCCATGATTTCAGATTGGCAAGCTTTTAATTGAGTATCATATTTTCGTATGAATTCCAAAAAGGACAACTAAAGAAAAGCATCTCGCTGCTTCATTGCTTGCAGCAAGCCTAATTCAGGAGGGTGACTTGAATACTTTGAGAGCAGAGGCAGGGTTTGACTTTCAGATTTGGTGAGGCAGGATGCTGCAGCTGAAATGAGGAGGAAGGAAACTGGTCTCTCAGCAGCTGAAGCCAGCGGGGGCACACAGAGGGTCTCTGAAAGACTTGCGCCTTGTGGCTGAGACACTTGTCACGTATGTAAAATATCTGAGTCTCCTGGAGATGGAAAGATGGTCTGGGACGCCAGTGCCCCTCAATCCTGTCCCCTTCCCCACATTTTTCTCTTCCCAAGACTCTGCCCAGCATGCGTGGAGGCTAGGAAAGCAAGACTTTCTCTTCATTATTTGACACATCACAAATCCATCTATTCCCCTCGCTCTCTTTTGGGCTTGAGATACGGCGGGTAGGAAACACTGTTTTGGCCAGATACTAATTACTGGGTTCAAAACCAAGCAATGGTTGTTAGTCTGTAAAGCACAGGAGATGATCAAGTGGGCCTTGTCACCTTAAAAATCAATAAACACAAATATCATGGACTTAGATCCTGAGTTAGTATGAAGGAGGGAAGCTTCACTGGAGAACTTAGCCCTATTGTTACAGAAGGGTTGGGATATGAGTTAAGGTGAGTCTTAAGTATAAAACTCATTTATTTGGGCGAAACATGGAAATAATAGACATCTTCCCAAAGATTACAACAAGGCTAGGCATTCATTCTTCATGTACAAACCTGATATCTTACTGTGGTATCTCAGGCTAGACTATCACTTAATTCTTTTACTGGGGTTTAACATTTTAAGTAGTAAAAGGCAATGTTTGACATAATGTAAGGTAAGAAGCTATGTGGTACCTTTGGAAATAACAGGTAGAAAATAGAGACATCACGTGTACGGTGTGGCTTTAATTCTTTCAAAAGGAAATAGTGACTGAAGAAATGCTGGAGGGGAGGAAAGCCGGAAGAAATGAGCTGGGAAAAGGTCAGAGTGCACAGCTTGATGGCAACAAACCCAGTAGATACATTCATTTGCCTTCTATAGAACAAGATAATCTGTATTAGAAAGAGATGTGTTCTCTCAAATAGATGAAAATAATTTCATATTAACATCCAGTTACCTTTTGTAAAAACTGTATCATGTTAGTGATAATAAACTAGTGTTCCTCTGTCACTGAACCTGTATTCATGTTGGTGTCTTGGGACCTTTTTTTAAAAAGTAGCCTCTGACCTTAGGTAAGACTTCTTTCCTAATGCGTTGGCCACTTGCTGATGGTCCTTAAGATAAAGTTTTGAATTTAAATACTGTTTGTCTTTGCTATGTATTTTCTGTCTCATTTATTACCTACGTAATCACAGATTTTCTACATTTCACAGTACTGTTACATGAATTCTTAATGCCTGCTCTGCATTGCACTGCTCTTTATTTACTCATTGAATGGTGGATGTTATGTTTTAAGTACAATTATTTTTATCTGTGCTGCTGTATGCTCTTAGGTCCATGGGGCAGATTCCTCGTATTCACACAATTTCCAGTATAAGGCCAAATAAGAGGATATCTTCTCAGTAGCATTATGAATGGGACTTTTTCTTGCTAAAAACCTCTTTATCCTCACAAAATTTGCCAACTGCCTTTTAGAGTGAATGCCAAAAGCAGGCAACCTCTATGGAAACAAGGTCATGCTCACATATGTTAAATGGGGCAGGGCTCTAAGCCAGTGCACTTGTCCAGGGCACTGCCACATAAAGGGACCTGCGAGATGTTAGAAAACACGATCTTCTGCTCAAAGGTCTTTGTGGGGCTATAAACCCGGAGCATCGAATTCAGGTGAACCACTACATGGGAGTGGGCTGCATCTGTCACTAATATGGCACAATTTTTCATTTTTATGCTAGATTTAATTTGGAAAATTATGTCAAGAGTCAGATAAGGCCTACCCCTGACAGCCCATAACCCAACAGAAAGGACGTACACAGCTGTGATACGGCTGAAGAGGGGATGAGTCAGAAGGCATCTTTGTGTGTATGACTAAAGCAGTTCTTTCTAAATGGCTGGACTTCATAAAGAGATATCCAGGAATGCGCTGGGCTGATGTCCCTGAAAAACGTTACCTTCTCTCATAAGACCACCGTACCTCTTTTTATATTTTTATTATTCTTGGTATTTTGTTTAGAAGCACAGGTTTTTGAATTCACATGATATTGCGAGACTCTCATTTAGAAGGACAGAAAGTTGCTAGACCTCATGCTTGGTAGTAGGGAAAATATATGAAAGCTGTGGAAATACGATCTCATTATTAAACTAATATTAAAGGACACAAAGGTCATAATTTAAAAAAAACCCCAACCCTATAATTTTAAACTCATTTTGCCGTTGTGTAATTTTTAAACATAAAGGATGCCAGTACATATTTCCCTTGTGCTGGATTTTGGTCAGCACAGCGTGTGATCGGGAGGGAGAGGATAGAAAGTCAAGGAAAGAGGAGTTCACTTACCGAATGGTATCTGCATCTTCTTAAACTCAAGAAGCAGGAAAGCTTCCTGGTATTCACAGGGGCATCCTGGCAATAAGCTGCACTCAGTGACCACAGACACGGTTTCCCCATGGTCTGATACCTTTAGTTACACTGAGCTAAAGGGAGTACAGAGTGGACAAAAAAAGCTGCCTGACAGAATAGCATTTTCCACTTGTTTTACATAAATAAGAAAAGAGCACACCTGAGATCTAAAACACACCAAGGTTCAATACCATCAGTTCCTTCCACAGATTTTTCACTTTGTTTTTTTTTTTCCTCATGCCAAGTGATCTACCAGGGTGAAGTTTTTTTCATTCCACTTAATGGAGATGCGATCAAAATGGAGCATCATTTTGAAAAGCACTATGTATTGCACATGCTATTCTCCTCCAGGTTGCAGGTTATAGCATCGCGTTTCACTGGGTGG